GTGCTCGGTCTCAGGTTGACATGTCTGTTGGCTTCTTGTGCAGATGCTTCGACGATGTCTGGGCATTTAATTACTATTTAATTGGTGGATGGTGACTAACAGTGGAATCCAGGATGTGCATTCCATCCTATTTGAAATTCGTCAGCTGGATCCATTTCTCAGTGAGTGATGACGTTCCCACCGAGGCTCGAACCCAGTGCTCTCATGGCCCAAATGGTCTAGTGGATAACGCTTTGACGTTCGAAACTATGGCCACGGGACGAAATGCGCATCCTGGATTCCACTGCTAGTCACCATCCACCGGTTAACTTCGTAATTATTTTCCTCTTTTCTTGAAGACCGTGTAAAATTGTTCTGACGTCTGCATATCACCCGTTAACTTATTCCTTTTTATTTGTCCTTATTTCTGTTTAATCCCTAGTTTCTCTTTGTGATTGTGTGATGGTAATATTTATAATGTGTTGTTTTACGACTGCTGTTTTTTTTTGAGTGAGTTAGGGTTATCATGACCTTGGACTGTCTGCAGAAATTCTTTGGTGTGTGATTCTTGATGACAAATTGTTGACCTCACTATGCTAGGAATATGCTACGTGATTCTCGGGTACTTCATACAGTTGATTTGATGAAATAAATGTGTTGCATAGTACTTGCTTTGTGTTTGATCTGTATTGCTGACTAATGGCGCTGTTGAGGTGATTTAGTGTTTTGATATGTTACGATTGTTGAAGAGTGTTGCAAATTTTATTTAGGAAATAAGTGTTTTGTTTTTACTATCGCTGGGATATTTTTGTACTGTGCGTAACTCATGGAAGTTCTGATTTTCTATACAGTAGAACTCAGAGATTGGTTTCCTGCGTTAAACGATGTACTAGGCAGCGTCTGGGAATCAGAGGAGGTTCCGTCATGTTTGTGTAAGTCATTGATCATCCCGATATACAAGAAGGGAGACAAGTCTTTCTGTGATAATCACAGGGGGGTTAGCTTGACTAATATGGTATCTAGAGTTCCAGGCTGAATAATAATGTGTAGACCAAGTGGTGTTCGGGAGGAACAAACATGATATGGTATAATAGGGCTAACAATATTCAAGTTTGGCTTTGGTCGTGTGCTGAGTAAGAAGGGGAAATCAATAGACGAAGTTGTGAATTTACACCGATTGATAGAGATGGTTAGGGTATGTGTTATGCTTGTCTAGCCATCGTCTTCCTCACGATAGGCAGTGTTAGCTGATACACGATGGATCAGGTCCGAAAAGAGCCAGTGGCTTCATCAGCCAATGAAATCCACAACAGTTGGTTTAAGCCATATAGAAAGATGTAGACTTGTTGGTTGTGGTCCTCGAGACACCAATATCTGGAGACAGTTGATGATACGGCTCAGAGTGATCGTTCTCAGTGGCTGGCTAGCGCAGATGCATCCACTTCTTGCGAATTATAATATCCAATAAAGCTATATTGTTCTTTGATATCATTATTCTTTTTGTCTCATATCTCTGTTTGCTATCTCTATTTTGCGTTTCTTTTTACTTTTTTCTTCTCCGGCTTTGTGTGCTGGGTGAAGTGTGGTGGCTCGAACTACTGCACATTGATGCAAAGTTCTGTAACAAGTGTGTTTTGGTCGTTACAGTACTCAACATACCTATATAATATGCTTGACAGACGCTCAAAAAGATCGCTACAGAACCTGTAGTGGGCATTGACGATATGGTGGTATGAAATATATACCTCCAGCAACACACCAAGTTCCCTCTTAAGCATTTCTGAGCAACGGCTCTTACCTAATTTTTTGTTCTTGTGAAGACTAGCTATAGAGTAGCCTGAGCTAGGGATTTAGGGAGAAAATGGAATTGAAATTTCGTGAACTTCAGACTAGATGGAAGACAGAATTGCTATGTCTTCAAACACGCTGGGTTTTTTGAGCCTTTTGATGATGATGATGATGGTAAAATGTGTAACCTTGTTACTAATCGCCATCTTTGGTGTCTGCGTGTAACTACTCAAGGAAATTCTGGTTTACTATACAGCCGAACGCAAAGATTGGTTTCTTGCGTTTAAACCACAACGAATCGGTTTATGTTCTTACACTTATCTAATACGGAAATATGTTTAGCTTTCTTTTAACTGTTAAAATGTATGTTTAGGATAAAAAAGTTTTAATACACAATTAACATGTACTTTTTTCAATGCCTATCTAACGGTATAGACACAGGGCCTACAACAAAAGTCTGTATATTGATATATAATTATTCGGTCAATCAGTAAATCATACAGACGGAAAGACCCAAAGATAGATAGATGGACAGACAATAAAATTAATGCTCCATACAAGTTGGTACATCAGATGTTTCCCACAGTGAAAGAGCACCTATTAACAGAATAACTTACGAAACAATTTATTGTTTCCAATAATTCCAAATCTAAACTAACTCTACAACTCTGATAATTACATTTTATAGTTTTTGTTCTTCAACTTCAACTATCTTAGGTGTGGTAGAATATTTTAGACATTTGGAGAAGATATTGCATTATTTTGAATGCATGAACCGTTTGTTAGTGAAGTAAGTTATATTGTGAAGATAGGACGTGAGATAGGGTTACGTTTGACCAAGAAAATGACTCTGGAAAACTTGCACTTTGTGGACCAGTCATGTCTAACGTCATACAATGTAGATGATTTAAGGAGGAAAGCCAAAAAGTTGGTAGAAGTGGTAGGCAGAGAAAGAAGAACTCAAGTAAACATAGTGAAGATAAAGGTGATAAAGATACCGAACCAACAATAACAAGCATCAGTCTGTAGGAAGTCATCTGTTTCACTTACCTGACTGGGATCGATCGGCTCAACTACTGGCGATGGCACAGATGAAGATGTTAAAACCAGAATCGGAAAAGCAAGACACAACTTATTTAATCCGAAATCATTGTGGAAGTCTACTGGACTCAGCATAGAGTAGAATACCGAAATTTTCAACGTTAACGTCAAGTCATTGCTTTTATCAGGTACAGGGACTTGGCGTGCGCTTTACCGAAAGCATTCCCTGCAGGCTTCTGTAGACATTCATCAACAGATTTCTTTACTTGATTCTTAACACCAGATTGACAGTTGGGAAGCATAAGCATGTAAGAAGTTAAGAACCTATTTCACAATAAATACGCCTAAGGAAATGAGGATGGATCGGCCAAACACTGAGGAGACTGTTGGGTAACATCACCTGCGGGTAGTCTAGTGGAAGCTGAATAGGAAAATATGGAGTTTGCGTTTGTCCGAAGTCAACATGGAGGAGAATGTGAGCAGAGAGATGAATGTTCATAGACAGTCATTGAGTCATCTTGAAAGGATTGCAAAGAATTTTACAAATTTGAGATGTGCTATTGAATTCCTTTGTTCCACTGGAAACCAAAACGAGTCATATTATAAATAACATTCTTCCACAGTTTAAAAGGATAAAGAGGGTGAATGCATATGCACCGCTGAGTATAACTGGGAAGGATGTCACCAGAGCTGACTAATCTGTGATTTGTAGTATCCTGAAGACTCTAGCTCATATGGCTTAACCTACTGTTCAATGAATTTATGTATTCGCGTCATTTTGTCAATCGTGTCTAAGCTTCAAACATGAATTAATCATTAGTAAAGGAGTTTTCACTACTGTTTATGCCCAAACTCCATTGGCAACTCATATCTACTTGTCAGGTAGAAGGTTATACGCTAAAATGTACAAATAAAAGCCACTGAGATGATAGAATTCTGTCAGAAAATAATAAATAAGTACATAAACTTGAAAGTATGAAGTCATAAGTGAAATGAGACCTTATATTAGCTATACCTTGTAGAAATGTAGGTCTATACTTGGATTCAACCAACCTAACCTCACACGGATGGACAGTCACTGATTTCATTCACTGGTACAAATTTATTGTATAACCAAGCTTCACTTCTTGTGATATATCTATAATTCTGTTAACACAGCATAGTAAGATAGCGGGTAGTTGTTTCATCAATCCCATTACGTAATAGAACTTTATGATTTCACTTAATGACTAAGTAGGCTATCCAAAAACTATAAGCTCGACTTTTAGATTGCTCTGCTTCTTGTTATATGATACAGCAGTAATACTACCATGATGAAAAGAATCCTTAAACACTTGAAATCACCGCATATGTTCTGTCTTTGACGTAGGACACACAGTGCCATGTTACATCATAAGTTTTACTATTTCTGGCGAAAGTAAACGGTCACTATTTTCAGGCAATTCTGTCAACTGAAAATACCTAACCAACAATTACAACAAGCACCAATCACTATCAACATGGGAAATTTCAGTCACCTGCACAGGCAGCATCATTTCAACGATTAGGCAGTATGGGTGAAGATGTAAAGGCGGCCAAAATAAGGAAACCGTGATAATCTTTCATCAATCTAAAGTCATAGTTGAAATCAACAGCACTCAGCATACAGAACAAGATCCAAGTTTTCAACACTAATGTCAAATCAGTCACTACTTCTATATGGTCCAGAAACTTGGCATGTGCGTCACTGAAAGCATTTCCGACAGGCTACTGTAGACTTTCATCAATAGGTACCTTCGTGGTTCCATACTAAAGATCAGATAGCTGATTGGGAAAGATAAGCAAGAAATAAATGTGACATGGCGAAACAGTCAGAATCTATTGCTCAAAACCTATGAAGAAGGAAGAGGGAATAGATGGAACATACCCTAAAGACACCGATGAGTGACGTCACATACCAGGCCTAGGAGTAGTATCCGAATTGGAAACGACAAGTTTGGAGTCAGGTATGACACAAAGGAGGTCATATGAAGAGGAAATTAAACTTTATGGGCAGTTTCAGATCCATTAAGCAGGACTGTAGAAAACAGGGGAATATGGAAATATACTTCTGAATTCCCCCTGTGTTCCACTTTGAACCCAAGGGAATAATGATAAAAATTTAATTTCAAATCAACTGGAACGCTTTTTATAAAACGAATTTCCTTACTTACTTTTGTTGCAGTTTAAGCAAATATCTGCTCTCCAATAACTTTAAACATTCAGGGATAATTTTATCTTCATATGGTGATTTATTTTCAATATAATCTACAGAAAATTGATTAATTTGAAGATTATTCTTTAAACTTTGCGTATTATTTGGTTGTAAGCGTAAAAGTGTTAAATTACTTGTACATCTATTCAACCATTTCGGTGAATAAGCTGTTAAACGAAGTATAGGCTCTTGTACTGATAACAATGACAGATTATCTGATTCAATATTAAATAAATTATCAGTGTCTATTTTTAATTTTGAATCTCTCTCCCAGTCTTTTGAATTAATTACTGATTCATTTAAACAATTTGTTGTTGTTGTGGTGGTGGTGGTATTCAATGTTGTATGCATTGTTTGCAATTCTGATTTCATTAGATTTTCTTTATTTAAAAGTTTAGGCGTGAGTGTACCATCATTCACTGACATTGTACTTATTGAATCACCTGCTATATGTTTAAAACTTTTTGATTTTCTTAAACATTGTAATGTTTCAGAGTCTTTATCATCTCCTATTTTCATGTCATTCATATCTGGGTGGGATATAGGAGGAGCAGGAGGTGGAGTAGGCGGAGAAGATGTTTGCAGATGACAGGACAATGGACGATCAATTTTCTGTATAGGATTTATAAATAGAAATGATTTTGACTTGTATTTTCTTCTTGATGATGCAATAGTCTCCATATTTGTGCTTAATTCATTGCCTTGGTCTCTTAAAGTTGTGACAGATGAGTGCTTTTCATTTGCATCATAACATGACAAATGTAGATAATCCTTGTGTAATATATCTGTACTACCGTTTATAGATTCTCTTCTGGCATAATCTTCTGTATTAATGCTAAGATAATCACTCGTTAATCCGAGATAGTTTCCAGCCGATGAAAAATCAGTAATATTAGCATCCGTTAAAGGTGTTCTCTTCGTTTCAGTGTATAATAATTTATCGATAGACCTATCCCATTGGTCATTTTCAAAGGCATTATCACCGCCACTGGATTGCTTATCGTTTCCCTTGCCCATATCGATTCTGTTAGGTTAGGTAAGCCTAGTGGACGACTGGATTGTATATTCAACAATGAAAGATTTCCTCCTTGTTTTGCTAGATCCTTAACACTTGACACGGAAGACTGAAAATCACCACCATCTGCTGAGCTTATATGTTTGTATAATGAATGCGATCTATGAAGATGTCTGTTCATGTAAGCAGTATCTTCTATCAGGATTCCGTCTTTTGATACCATGTCATGTCTTTCCTTTACTTTCATTCTATCAATCTCATTGTAATCATAGTTATCATATTTATTTATTCTATTAGTTTCGTTATATTCTGAATAAGAATTCCTGGTTAAATTATTTACGTTTGCTGTCTTTTCGTGCTCAGCCACGTTAACTCTCTCGAGTTCTTCAACATCTTCATCAGGATAGATAATTTCAATGACTTCAGGACAATTTTGATGAATACGACATTTATACGGTTTCCATCTATGCGAAAATCGTTGTCCCATTTTTTAAATTTTTATTGTGGTTAAAATATAGTTGTTATCTAATCAATCACCAGTGCTGATAATACATTTTTCTAAATGATTTTTGCTTATTATCGCTATAATTTTCATTCTCCTTCACATTAGATTAACCTTGAAATGTATTGATTATGTAATCATGTGACTACAATTTATTCAGTAGTGTGTAGATTGGCGAATTATGTAATAAAAATGTGCAAGTTTACGAGTAAATATTTTCCATCTTATTCAGTAGTTTATTGAGTCATTCATTAATACAGCCTACATGTTATTTAAATGTATTTGTGGAAGGAATGACTTTACGTAGGTAAGGCCATTTCGGAAGATAATGTTGTGGGATTAAAATCGGTGTTTGTTTTATGCTTGACCAGGGATTATTATCAGTTAGTGAACCATTGAGAACATGAGGATAATGGACAGCTGTTTCATCATAGTTTCGGACTCTTCGTTAGTATGTACCCGTCGGGGTTCAGACTCACGTTGCTCCGGTCACATGGAAGACTCGTAGACTACTCAGCCATTGGGAAACCATCCATTGGCCCATCATTTCTAATTTCTACTGAATTGATATTTTAGTACGATTACCGACGAATGTTATTGGCGAGTATTTGTCCAAAATCCCGAATTGGTTGCGCCGACTGGTCACGATTTCTCATTTAAACTTTCAGGTAATTGCATCCACTACCCAGTCACTAATGAGCATCAGATTAATTTTTAAATAAAACTTTTTTAGGGATATGAATTGTTTCGAGTTTGGTCACGGATTGATGTAAGTTGGAACACCACTGGAAACCAGGGAGTACTGGTGCGTGTGTGCTGTTAAAGAGTCCAGACCAGGACGAAGTAGCTGTCCAAGACTTCCTGGTTTTCACTTGTTTTCCAACTGAAATCAACCCGTAATGAAACATTAAGCCAGTCGAATCCCAACGAACTTAATTTAGAAAATAATGTGTGAGGAAAAACTGATCGTCAGATGTATTCGAGTACAGTATAGCACATGTCATAACGGATATTCCACTTATGTAAAAAAAGACGATGAAATACCTGTGAAACATTTATACGTAGCATGTGATATGGTCACAGCATTCCACAGATCACGTGATTCAAAACTACTTAAGACCAAATGCTTGAGGAAATTCCAAGTGTAACTCAATGCCTTGTGTTCCACCCATCCAAGTAAGAGGGCTGAAAGGGAGGTAAATTTAGTTTGGTCAGATATTATATACTCACCCAACATGTTTTTAAACATTTTCACAAATGATATGTGTTACATTTCATTCAGGTGAAGCAAAAATAAAGATTTCATACTACTATGAAGCAATCAGTAGACAATACTTTGCCATTGTGTGTTACATCATTGTAAACAAACAGATTTGTTTTATTTGTTCAAGTTAGTTGATTTAATATGCTAACGAAATACTCGTTGTCTGTCTACATGCCTGCATCTCATACGGACGTTTCGATGATGTCTTTTGATTAAAATGATACCATTTGGTTGATGGTGGCCAGTAGTGAAATCCAAGTTGCACGTCCAATCCTATGAGGGACTCATCATCTGGATTTATTAAATACTCAGTAAGTTTTGGTGTTTCCATGCAGACTTGAAATCTTCATTCATTATTTCAATGGTAAAGTGGTGGCTATCTTGTTTCAGTGGACTAGTGGATAATCCTTTGGCGTCTGAAACGATTGGTGCATGGTTTAAGTTTTGATGTGGACATCATCACTCCGTGGGTATGCACGTAGACCCAGCTGACTAATTATGAATAGGCTTAAACATACATCTTAGATTCTACTAATGGCCATTACGTTCGTGGTTCAGCGGTTCAACCACCCCTGTAGTCTGGAGTTTAATCCTCAGGCAACGTACTCCTAAGCTGGTAGTTGGGCCGGTAAACAGGGAAGGCTGGAAGTGAGGATAGCGATCACACTCTGTAGAAATAGAAAAAACACACTGCTACCGAAACTTCAAAGCTCTAGCTTGAAGCCTTATTTTTCACCAGGAACATTAAGGAATAAAATTAAAAACCTTTCCAAGTTTACTAACTCACAAGTTTTCTAGTCGGCTTCAAGCGCGGATAAAAGAGGAGAGTTGGGATTGGGTCTAGCGACCCTACCCCACAAAGCCAATCAGACTCCTACAGAAAGGTCAACGCGCAATAAAATATTCAAAATTCAAAAGATATAAAAAACAAGCTTGTTCCTCGCTAGAATCGGAGAGGCAAAATATTTCCGTGAGCTGGTGAATGCCTTCGGGATGCCAGTCAGTCGCTGTGTCTTTTTTCGATCAAAAGAAGAATACGAATGGAACGGCTACTATCAGCCAAACAAAAGTATCATGGGATTTTACTGAATACACTGCTCCGAAAGATCTGTTGTATTTTATAGTCAGGAATATTGATGGGACATAAGAACTCGAACCATTCGATTGTTCATTATTGTTGTGACTGTTCGTCCTTTATTGCACTGAATATTTCATCTGATTTACTTTTTCTGGTTTCAGAAGGGATATTCTCAAAATAGCGTCAAAACATTTATCCATTCTAAACGACATTTATGTAGACAAGTAATCCAAAGTCTGTTTCTTTCTTTTCTCTACTATTATGTGTCCTTTTATGACGTCTTACGACTTGAACCTTTGTACTTTCATGTAAAGCCTTCCAGTGCTTTGCAACTAAATGCAATGTAAGGTGGCGATGTAACAATAATTTCGGTGCATGCATCACTCACGTTTAAGACTAAATTTGTCGTTATCTGTCCATTAATTTATTTAAGGAATTTGTTCTTACTGGGAACCAGTCATGATCTTAATATCATAATGTTTATTGTTTTGGAGGTTGACATTGGGCAGTTCGGGCTCGAATTTAGAAAACGTATCAATCTTCAAGCATTGGTTTTTTGTAGGGATTTTTTTGAGCCAGTGGAGGATTTCATCATTAGATGACATCAGGTAGAGAACCATTGGAAAACCTGGGAGTACTGGATATCCATTTTGTCTTAGTTTCGGACTCTTCAATAACACGCACCCACACCACGGTGAGGTTCGAACCCAGGACCTTCTGGTTACAAGGCGAGCTCGTAGGCCATTAAGCCACTAGGACCAGATTCAATGACCCGTGAATTCTAAATTCTGCCAGTCCCAGGAAGTTAACCTGGGGTTTAGTGGGAAGCCGTGACCAGTAGGATGCAGCAGGTTGAAGTTGAGGCGGTAACTCACCGAAAAAGACACTGCAAGTGGTCGCGCTATGTCGAGACTTGGCAGCAGTTAGAATTCATTGGCTGGTCATTGGATCGGGTCCCATCGGCTTTATCGTGTACGAGCTGTCCTTGTAACCAGAATGTTGTGGGTTCCAACTCTGGCAGTGGGTGCGTACTACTTAAGAATCCCAAGCTAGGCTGATGAAACAGCTGTCCAGTACTGTTTGCTGGTTTTCCAGTGGTTCTCTAACTGATGTCAGCTCATGATGGAATCCTTCAACCAATCAAAATATCATTTTGTCGCAAAATTACTAATGTGATTTGCTTATGAGCGCATGTGCGCGTCAGTTCAATCACTCGTGTTAGTTGAGGCGCTCTGTTCAGTGACAATACCGTTCTGTGCTAAGTATGAGGTGAGGACATGTAGCCATTTTTTTTAATAATAATAATAATAATAATTTACTTTATTCCAAAAACAGTACTTGTGATACAGAATGGAGTTTTAAGCATTAATCACAATATTGCATCTAATTTCCTCAAATTATAAATAAAATTAATCACACAGAAAATTTTCCACATTTACAATAGAGTTTGTGTCAAAAACATGCAGCACATAAAATGGAAATAATAATGATAACAGCTAGGGTAATAATAGTAATACAAGTGAAAATTACTGTGGGCTTGTTTCACCCAGTATTGGCAATGTGGTATAGGAATCCTAACATGTTTAAAAATATTGAATATAATGTTCTCTTTACATGATGTGGTGAGGGGGAAAAACAAAGATTACAGCAGTCATAGAGATAGGTTGGTGTTTGCAATTATGAGAGTAAAACAAAGAAGCAACAGGATCATATATATAATAGAAATAATAAAAATAAAACTTGAAGGTATATAAGGATGGATGGAGGAAATTGTTTAGTTATTAGATGGAAAAAGGTTAGTTAATTCTTTCCTGACACTATTTTCACCACATAAAATACGTGCCATGTATGGTTTCATAGAATTTTTATACTTAGACGTGTGAGCATACAGTTTTCTGAAGTTACTTCTTGTTCTACCTGAGGAGATGCAAGGTGAAAGCTGAGGGTAAAGTGGATGCTCCATGTCAGACAAAATCCCTTTAGCAAATTAGTGCACGAAGTCAAATGCCTATCGACAACGACGTTACCTATGTGGTCCACTGGGACACCACTCACCCTACTGACAGTCTTCAGTATTCTACGAATCGTGACATAGTCTTTTTTAAGCGAACCAAGAAAGAATAAGGGTGAACAATAAAGAAGAATAGGTAGGATGCAAGAGTTTATGAAATGTAAGAGGAGGGGTTGCGTTATACCCGAGTTAACAGCCATTGAAACTGTTAAATCACCAGCGTGCTTCACAAAGTTTATCTCATCAGAGTGAGGCAAGTCATGCAAGAAGAAAGAAAAAAGAAGAGGAGAAAGGACAGCGCCTTAAGGGACACCAGTTTCAGTAGGCAGTGAAGTGGAAGACTTCCCTTTATATACGGTGTACTGTTTTTTTCTGAGATATAGAAATGTAACCAGTTAACAGCCCAACATTCTGTTTGACTATGAAGTTGTGACGCTCTATCGACTGAGGTGACTAGGACATATACTATGCCTATCATTTCATTACCTTCCACAAAGGCCAATCTCAGCTGACATATGATTCAGATGGTGGAGAATTAAGGATGGTCTGGTGGAAGTATTTCACCAATTAGTCAAGTCTTTGGATGTCTGAGCCACAAAGACGGGTTAGACTGACTGGTTAAGTTTCTTGGTTGCAGGTTGCTGGTGACAGGTCGCACATTTATCTATCCCAATA